TAGCTAATTTGTTTTCATAGAATGAAAAATGTAATAATTATCCAATATGGAATTGCAGTTTTGGCCTGGTGCCTGTGCCAGAAGGTGATATATGTGATAACAGCCATGGGATGGGCACCCCAAAACAATTTAAGTGACCTACAGTTGTTTGCAAATAAGCATGTCCCCCTGTTCAAATCAATCAGAATGTTTTGGGCATGACATTACGTGGCATGTTTTTCAGAGCAACAATCAGCACTGAGCAGCATTTAATTAGATGTTGATGTAGAATCAGCTGTTTTTTTTATTTATTTAATTATTTTAATTATATTATTTTATCAGTATTAAAAGCCCTGTTGCCTGGGATAGGATTCAGGCACCACCCCCATATACACACAAACATTATACATATAACATAGAGGCACTGATTTATAACATACCTGTGCCCCACAGAAAACGAATTTGTTGTATACGCTTAGAAATATTTAATTACTCTTCCATTTGATAAATGGTAAAGCTATTAACTATCTCCTGTATATTCAGTCAATGTCCGAAACTTGCTTGAAAAATGCAGAACATTAAGGAAAATGTAACAGACTCATTATAGTGAAAGCAAACTAGTTTGGGATGGTTCACAGGGTCATCACTGGAGCCTCATAATCCCATGGCTGTGGGATTCATTCACATCCCCACCTCTGCGTGTGGAGTTTGCATATTCTCCCTGTGCTTTCTTGGCTTTTCTTTGGGCTCTCCAGTTTTCTCCCACAGTCAAAAAACATGCAATGAGGATATTATGTGTCTCTAACTTGACCATTAGATAGTTATGTGTGAGCCCTGCAGTGGACCAAAATCTCATCCAAGGTGTCTCCTGCTTTGTGCCCTGTATTTCCTGGGATATGCGCCAGAAACGGTGGAATGCTATATTGGATAAATGGGTATGGTCCATATTGAATGAATTGTAAAGACCTAACACAAACACAGAAACTACAGCAAGTTTCCATTTAATTTTCCCATCCATCCATTGACTGAAACCACTTGTCCTATTCAGGGCCACAGAGGGTCCAGAGCCAAACCTGGAGGCTACGGGCGCAAGTCAGGGAACAACCCCGGATGGGGCGCCAACCATTTAATTTTTATTGTATCTATTATTTAGTAGATGCTTTTATCAAAAGTGATGTATAGTTCAGAAAGCAGGCTCAGTCAGATGCTGGAGAAATTGGGGGTTAAGGGCTTTGTTCAAGAGCCCAATGGTGAAATCATTACTGTATGTCACTGACAGGATTTGAACTAGCTACCTTCCGATCAGCGGCATAGAAACCTAACCAGCAGAGCCACATACCACTCAATGGCTTGTTCCTACCCTAACGAGGAGGGTTAGCCAGGAGCAATTGAGGTTAAAGGCCTTGCTCAAGGGCAAAAGAGTGAAACCTCCCCATAAGCCATTGGATATGAACCAACAACCTTTCAGTCACAGGAACATTATCTAAACCCACAGAGCCACACAACACCACCCACTCACTACTTAATATTATTTTTTAATTTTGCTAGAAAAATATTTGCTTTCTAAGAATATTCTGGCAAAAGAACCATCATTGTGTCTATTTGTGTGCTTGAGTATTGTCCCCAATGAAATTAAAGAATAATGAAATCTATCACTATACCTAAAATGTCATTTAAGTTGTCAAATACCATTCTGAAACTAAAATTTCACTGAGAATTAGGTCATAGTGTCATGCCCCGCTTCTCTGATCCCCGTGTGCCACGCCCTGCTCCCTCACTGCCTCGTGTGGAATCCCCATGTCACCGACTGTGTCTAGTTTCATTCAGTGTAGTCTGGTGTATTTAAATACCTCCCTGCTCGTCTTCCCCCAGTCCTGTCATTGTCGTTACTGCCTGTTTCTCCTGTGTGCCCGACTGTCTTCCCCGTAAAACCCTTGTTTCCCCAATAAATCCTTTGCTTCCCCGACTTACTGGATTCCTGCTCCTCTGTCTCTGTTCCGTGCCCATTCAGCACGTAACATATAGATAGGCCAAAATAAATTAGCAAGTCCTGTTGCTGGTCTGAAATGATCAGAATAGTACAGTCATATTTTGCTGGCTGTTTTAAATAGGTTTGAGCAGACAAATGCTAAATAAATGCTTTTTAAATCTTCATTATAATTATTTCAACACATTTTGGATAATCACAGGTACACAGTGAAACTGCCAGTTTTTCCAACTTCTAATTGTTTAGAAAATGCTGAATGATACCTAAACCAGTGAACTTACTTCTGGGGCTCATTTCTCCCTCTAACCAGACCTAACCCCATCACAAAATACATATCATGCTGTTAATTCATTGTCAAAGCCCAGGCCATTGGTACCACTTGTTCTGGTCGTCTGCTTCAGGCAAATGCTTATTCTACCATATGTTACACGTAAAGCAAAGCAAAATACTAAACAGGATATCTCACATTTAGGCAACCCCTGCAGAGCCAATCAGCACAGTTGACTTTGTTTTGGGTTACATCAGGGTTATGCAACCCTGATTGTGAATGCTGGTATCCAGCAGGTTTTGTTATTCTACCAGATGAGTTACTACCTGCCTGAGATCAGGTGTGGTTCATCAGTGACCAAGTAGGATAGAAACCCTGCTGGATAGAAACACTCCAGGATCAGGGTTACCTACCTCTGGGCTACATCACAGATGTGTTACGCCCTGCCTGTTATGTTTGCTTGACCGCCCTTCTCCACCCTGTCATGGCCCCGATGAGCCTTGCCTGTTGCTTGTTACCCCTCATTAGTCTTTGTATTTAAGTGCCTGTTTGTCTTGTCAGCCCAGCCCGGTCAGTGACATCGCTCCTCCTGTCTGCCTATGTCCTTCCCCGTACTACCTTTCTTGTTTTGACTCCTCTCAGTCTCGTTTGTTTCCCTGCTCCCATTCAGTTAATAAAACCCCTTTTTTGCCTAACACCCGCCTTTGAGTCCTTCGTCCCACTTGCTGTGACAAGATGTAAGTGAGTACATGGTAAAAATAATCCAGACTACCTAGTTTCATTTTTAAAGCAGCAAAATCTCCTGTCCACCATGAGATTAGTTTGCAAATGACAGTCACAACACTTTTTTTAAAAAAACAACAATGAAACTGTTCTTGGTAATAAATGTAGAAGGTAATGCAGACTACTGTTTAATGCCTTGCTTTCACTTGTACATATTTACTTTCTGTGTTAGCACTGAAGTTCATTTATGTTGCATTTTCATAATGCTGTCTGCAAAATTACAAAAAATAGAGGCAAAAAATACTGTTGGAAAAATGATATAGTGACTTCTATTTTTGTAGGTGAATGCAGGAGTTTATAAGTGTGACCTGGAATTTGTTTTATTTGAAATGACATCCCTCCAGTATAGGGTAGAAGAACATAAAACCAGTTCCTGGTATAAGTCTGACTATGAAAGAAACTTAGTACAACAAGAAGAAACCCATGCCACATGGGTAGAACATGCAAACTTCATGCCACATGGGGAGAACACGCAAACTTCATGCCACATGGGGAGAACATGCAAACTTCATACCACATGGGGATAACATGCAAACTTCACGCCACATGGCAAGAACATTTAAACTCCACACATAGAGCAAGGGCACTATTCAAATACCCAAACCTCAAGGTATGAGGTCACAGTGCCTAGAACTGCATGACTGTGAAGCTGTATATTTACTACAGTAGACTTATTTTGGGTAGGGTAATTGGTGACTCATTCTTAGCCTTAAAATCATTAGGAATTTACATTAATTGGTTTGTAAAAGACAGTATACTGGGAAAAAAAGAGTATTTTATTCTGTCAATTGTGTGTTTTATTGATTTTTTTATGTGTTCCTTTGTTTCCAGTACCTTGGTGGTAAACATTCAATCCATAGTTTAATACAAACCAAAGAAAATCCCTGTATTTGCCGATGCTCCCACCGGAAGTATTCATATTAAAACTGAAAATAATATAGTTGTATAAAAGTCAAAAGAAAAACCAGGCTGTTTTTTCTGGCTGCTCTTGAGTCAGCTCCTGACAGGAATGGCTTGCCTTTTACCTATGATCTAAAGCCTGCACCACGAGCCATCCATCAACTGCTCTTGGAGTGCGTCTATAGCTCTGCACAGCTGCGGGGGCTTTGGTCCTCAGTGGTGATCTATCAAAAATTTGTGCTTGATGTAATCTTAAAATAGGACACACATAGAGATAAACCAGATGCATCATGTCTATATCAGTAAAAAAGATGCATGTGTCTATACCCATGTTGAGCTGCTTTAGTTTTACGGAGTTAAGTTCTGTGGTTTCGTATTTCTTTGTTATGTAAATGTAGATTACGGTATATAATTCAATTAATTTTAGTTCAGATTAAAAGCGGCTATAGTGCAGAGCTTTATGCTGTTATGCTTTAAGCGTGAAATTATACTGTGCAAAATCCTTTCTATTCTCTATTGGTTTTCTATAGCCTAAGCCATTTTCGAACGGCTCCGCACAGAAACTTTAAAGCAGCGGTTTCTATGACAGCGGTAGCCTACTAGACAGAAAGTAATACATCATAATCTACATGCCGTGTGAATATTAATGATATTAATAGTAATACCTACGGAGAAAATCGGTATTTGTACTAATGTTGGTTTAATCAACTGAAAATGTTCGTCTTTTGATTTTGCCTCCTGTTAGCCGATATCAACGTAAATCCAAGCAGAAGGTCTTAGTATTGATAAAGACAAATTGTTGATGATGGATCGCAATTCTCCAAGGCTTTGGGAGGCTTTGAAAATAAAATTAATTCATTTACGGAATAAAGGTAACTATAAGTATGATAATGAATACAGTCAAAACAACCGTATAAATGGAAAGAAAAGCTCGCAAAAATTCTTTCGCTATATTGTTTCACAAGTGTACCAAGAGATGCTCCGCTATTACAGCACGATTGTTTTAAATGTTTCAGCACCACTACAAAGGACAGCACCACCGCAACAAGCCTTGATAGGAATCTTATTCTGTTAATGACTCACCAGCGAGGGAGTAGAGATAGGTGTAAACAAGCAACAGGAATTGTAGTCGAGCCCATTCCAATCTTGCACCCTCCGATCGCCACATTGTGATAAACTAAATGTTTACCTTCAGTTGAACGCGATTTTATATCACTGAGCTAGTCCACATTTTCAGTTACCGCAAAAGACCAGCTGTTCTGGCATGACGTAATTTCGATGGCTGTTCCATTATGGCTCCGCCTTGCATTGCTTTGATTTGACAGTTCGTACATTCAGGCCAGTTTCATTGGAGGATTGTGCCATCAATCATTAACGATGCAGTGCTGGATGCCTAGATTCTGGGGGAGGGAAGCCAGCTTAAATCAAGTAACAGCGTTTCACGAAAATCAGCAATTTCCAATATATCTGCTTTATGAAAAAAAGTTCATTCCTTAAATAAGGATTATAATGACATGTTTGCCAATATACCGACGTCCGTGATGAGGATTATAAAAATAATTCTGCAACAACATATACAAGGCTAAAAATGGTAACCAAGTAAAAATGGAAAACATGGGCGTACAAATATGATCAATGATTCAAACCCATCTTCGTTTTATGCACAACTACAGTTAATTCAAAAAGTTGGCAAATATTTTGTAATGCATTATGCATTGTTAAATTCTCTTCGTGTCATGTTATTACAGGATTAAATTGGCTATGATGATGGTGTTTCTCTATTTTAAATGTGTAATAAAATATAAATGAATATGTGTGTTTACGTTCTTCGATTTTAAATTACTCTGTGTTGTATGTCGACAGATGAACTACAACTTTAACTCGTATATACTATACATCCCGTTTTAATGTTCTCAAAAGATTATTTGACACGTAGAAGAATATTTCACTGATCATTGTCCTGGTTAACGAAGTTTGATTTTCTTTAACTGTCAGTGTCGACCGTAACATTAATATTTTATTCATACAAAAATTATTTCGCTTTTGTTTTTATGCCAGTCTCTCAACCATTATTCAAACATTAACTCAACTGCTTGGAAAATCAATTCTTTGCCATTTACTCAAAAGTCCACCACATGCTCTATAGCAAATTCTTTTACTTTCCATCCCAATTATAAAAACGTTTCAGCGTTTAATCTGAATGAGCATATCGGGTAGTGTTACCACTTCAACAGAAATGTAGTCATATGGTGTATAAGCCGATAAATAAAAGTTCCATGCACATGAAAAACACCCCTTTCCACATTATTCTCTTTCAGTGGTTTAATTAGCATCTACCGCTACTCTATCAGATAAATATCCGAATATCTGTACCATATATGTTCAATTAAGGAGGAGGTTAAATGATCTAAAGGAAATAAAGTACATTTAGTAATCTTAAATTACATTGCATTTGTGAATGACAGGGGCGGCAAGTAAAAGCATTTTTCCTGATATGAAGTATTATATAAAATCCGAATATGTAACACTGCATAAGCTACATTGCCAACAGTATAATGATCTGGCAAGAGAGAATCACAGTGCAGTGGAGCTACAGTAGGATTAATTTCCAGAATCACAATCCAAAATTCATGGTGTAAAACAGGCAGTATGTCGTAGGGCAGGTAGAGGTAGTCAATGTGGAAAACAGAAATCCAAAAGAACAAAGGGAAATCTGACATTGGACCACAGCCACAGATTAAATGCACAATATGGTGAAATACAAGTTTGCATTGAGTTAACTGAAAAACTAGGTGCCATTATTCCATGCCAGTTAACCAAGGTAATGAGCCAGGTGTAGCTGGTGCTCAGGGGAGGCAGAGCAGGAACCAGCTGGGCATAGCTGAATAGATGCTGTGCAGGTGTGACAGCTACATTATTATTATGACATATGAGGATGGCTCCCTTTCAAAATTTCCTCCAAAACAATACCTTTACTAGCTCCAGCATCAAAATGAATATATTTTAATAGCACTGAATTTATCATGCATTTAACAATTCAATTTAAATACTACTTTGAAAGACATTGAGAATTATCAGATACAATTTGCATGGTTTTCTTAGTCGTCTATTTAATTTTTGTTATGACCATTATATTTTCTAGTATTTTCACTTTTTGCTAAAAACATGATAGCATGATCCATCTTTATTTTAATCTGTAGATAGTTTCTCAATAATTTTATAACCTCCATTAAACTGACACATTTTAACAGTGATTAATTAAAACTGAAAAACAGTAATGCATATTCATCATGTGTGCTCACCACTTGCAAGGTAAAAGATGGAGACCAGGTGTGGTGCTCTTTGGATGGCAAGCATGAACAGGAAGGACACAGATGGATCAGACCATGGCAATGGAAACTGCCTTGGAACATTGCCTCTCTGGTGTGGAAGAAGCCTAAGGTAATGTGGGAGGTGTCAGCTAAATAGAGTTGCCTTTCCCTATGTGCTATCGAGAAAAGCTCCTTAATCAGGAGAGTCTTTCCTACTCTGGAGATCGCCACTTTGAAAGGTGTTGGGGTGAGGAAAGTCCGGGAGGTGCGCAAAAGATTATGCCCTACTGACCGACTTGACAGACTTCAGTGCTGAAGTGGGGAAGGATGTCCTCGTGGATGTAAACCCAAGTTAATGTTAATGAACCTCTGCTCAAGTCATGGATCATAGCAAAAACCATGCTCAAACACAATGATGTTTATAAGTATGTTTGGTGTCAGGGCACCCTAAACCAAAGGTCAATGATCAACCTGTAAATTATGTGTTTTGAACACTAAGGTGAAGTAATGAGCAGAGCTATTTACTGATCAGCAGTAGGTAGTGAGTTGGATTTGGCACATGTGGAGGAGGCAAGGTGGACCAGGTTGACCCACACGTGCAGTCATGGATTGCTGGAAATGTCTGGCTGAAGGTTCTATGTGCATGAACTCAACCTATGTTGCTGGAAAAATATCTGCATGACAAGTAAGCTTGTATAAATCATGTATGAAATGCTAGGAGTTCAAGGAAGCTGTGACCTGATGAAAGAGGATTTCAGGACAATACTTTTATCCATGGTTCAAATTACTGGGGTGCAAAGGGAAGCTTGGCTCCCCTGAAAAGGACACAGGCCCCCCCTGAAAGCCTCCCCTGAGACGTAGAGGTGGAGCTCTACGAAATTGTCCACTTCTGTGTTATAGGTTATATTTTATTTTCCTGTGGTGCACACCAGAAAATAGGGCTCCCTCAAAAGTCACTGTGTAATCCACACCCTGCTTCTAAGAGTCACAACAGACAGCAGAAATCTATTGACATGCTACAAAAGCTGCAGTGAAGGTAGTCACAGAGGTAATGATCATGCATGGGTGGATTTTGGAGAGGTCGTGGAGAGATACAGGTATGGTCAAGAGGGAGAAGCAGGCAAGAACCTACTCCGATGATTAGATGCCTCCATAGCGAAAAGGTGATGACATTTCTCTGCTTCCCTGGAAAATCCTGTGCAGGGGTACTGACAAGGAGACTCCAAGCAATGGTTGAATCAAGGATTCAGGAGGAAGAGTGACGATTCAGGCCTGGCTGTGGAAAAGCCAACCAACTCTTCTTTCTCGCACAGAGGGGGTGTGAGGGTTTATGGGTAATGAGGCCACTACTACATATGAATGTATTGGTGTAGTAAAAGTTATGTCCGCATCCTTGGCACAAAGTCATTTAGAGTGGATGTTGCCTCCATCGAAGGTGCATTTTCTCTCTAATCCTGCTTGCTCTTTTTTATGGACGGTATATCAAGGTGCATTGTGCCTGGAAGTACCTCCAATATGGGGGATATTTGTGACATGTATATTTACTGATGATGTGTGTGGCAGGGATTAGAATCAGAGCCTATGGTGCTCTCTAGAATTGCTCCACTAATATAATGGTAGGGGAAACACTGACATGGTCAGCAGCTATATGCTGATAGGCTATGGCATTTAAACAATTCATCTGCTTAGTTCTGATGAGCCTGTGTCCACTGTAGTCTCAATTTCTTGTTCTTGGCTGACAGGACAGGGACCTGATGTGCAGAATTGCCCCTCAGTGGCTGTCTTTTGCATTTCGCACCATTCTGTGTAAACTCTAGAGACTGTTGTTTGTGAAAATCCTATGAACATAAGAACATAAGAACTATACAAACGAGAGGAGGCCATTCAGCCCATCGAGCTCGCTTGAGGAGAACTTAACTAATAGATCAACAGTTGCTGAAATTCTCAAGTCACCCTATCAGGCACCAACAACCATGGCATGGTCAAAGTGACTTAAACCTCATTTTCCCCATTCAAATGTTAAATCTGACCATGAACTGAAGCCCTTGAACTGTGCCTACATTATTTAATACATTTGAGCAGCTAGACGCGATTGGCTGATTACATATTTTAGGGGGCAGGGTGTGACTCTGTGGGTCAGGACTGCTGATGAACAGAAGGTTGCTGGTTCAAATTCTGTGGCCGGAGGAGTGATGCCAGCATTTAACCCAAGTTGGAGCAGGAGGGCTGGACATTGGCTGACCTCATATTGTAAGTGTCTCACTGAGAGACAGATAGGATGTGCAAAACCACCCAATTTGCCCATGGAGTTGAATAAAACAACACTATTCTATTCTATATTCACATCATGAAGCAGGTGTAAAGGTGTTCTTAATAAAGTGGCCAGTTAGCATATTTCCTTTGGTGTTTATTATATTACTGTGCCTGACTAAATAGTATGTTGAAGTATTAGCTAAAGAATTAATACACTGAACAACTGATCTTTCATGAAGTAATTTTTTTCCATTACTTTTGTTTTTTGGATCCTTGTTAAGATCTTGTCTTTGTTCCTCAAGCTTTTGTGTTTATTTGTGATCCACTAGAGGGCAATGTGCAGAAACATACAAAGTTTTTCTGGTTTGGTATGTAAAATATTGTGTTGAGTTGCAATCAGTCTAATACACTTGTATGCTGTTTGATGTCTAACACTGCTGTTGATTTGGACACAACAGAACTTCTTCCAAAGCACCAGACTTGGACCTCCACGAAGCGATTAACCTTTAAAGCAATTACAGAGGAAGACTTTGGTTTGTACTGTCACTGGCTGGTTGCATAATGATCCGATGGCTAGACTGGCTGCAATCTGTTTCAGTCACACCACAGTGACGTCAGACAAATGTAGGGGAATATGTGTCCAAAACGGATATCACACACCCTGCCCACTAGCTGATTCAGCAGCACTGACAATATTGTCTGTTTCTGTTTTTCTCAGAAGTGCATGAGTGGTTTGTGTCACCAATGCAGTCATATGGTATAGCTAGGACATTTAGTGACAAAACAGTACAGGAATGCCTTTATGTATTTTTTTATAAAATTTCAAGCTATAAGCCATATAGAACCCTGACTGATTTGTCAGCTGCATGCAAATACCAAATACAAGCAGTAGGATATCTCAGTGGGTAGCACACTTGCCTCACATCACCTGAATCAGGGAAAGGAATTTCCCCCTTGCTCAGTGTGCGCATATTGTGTGTCCTCCCTGTGTCATGTGGGTCTCCTCGTGCAGTTCAAAGACATTACATTAGGATAATTGGTATCTCTGACTTGCCCATAGTGTTTGATTGTGTGTGTATGATTTCTGGTGCCCCATACTCCTGTTTTATGTGTTGCACAACCTGGGACAGACTCCAGGTCCCCCACGCCCTAATCACTGAGAGATTTATTCAGTGAAACCTCTGGTTCTTTTAGTTGAATGATGAGGCAGGTTCCTTAAGTTTAAGCAGTTTATTAAGACAGAATGTTACAGAAAGATGTTTCACACGGCCGGTTCAGTGCCTGTCTGTGTCAGTCTCTGCCTCCCCTGAGGGAAGCAGGCCCTTTATCTACGGTTTTCGTACAGATTCCTGGAGCCGGGGGGTCAGACGGCCTTGGTGAGATAGTGTGAGATAAGAAAGAACATGATGAGCGAGTAGCAAGGACAGAAAGAAATGTAAAAATAAGAAACATGAAAGCTATAAATGAATGAACTAAATGAACATAATTAAATAACTACAAATTAACTAGGGATATCCCTCACCACTGAGTGACTGGAAGATGGATAGTCGGGTGAAAATATATGTTTTGCCTTATTGACACATTAGGAATTCTGCATTCCAGTAAAGTGCATAAAGGTTAATGTCTAAATATGCTGATTAGAGGAAGCCATGGAAGGGGTTAGACTGCATCCATATGATCATAAAACCACATTGTCTTGGAATCTGGGAACATCTTAGAAATATCCTCATATTCCTTGTCTGCTGTGCAACATTGTACAACCACCCTGAGACCTGATTCTTTTGGCTTTCTCTAAACAAGGGGAAAGGGTGAAACTTGGCTCAGAATTACTTTTTACACTCATTACTATAATATAATTCTTTTTTCTTTGATTATAGTTTGTTTGAATATAATGTTTTTGTATTATCCTGGACATAAATGTATTCCATATAGCAGCCTGTGCATAAATTCCAGCTTTGTGGTTCATGAACCTTGCGACACATACAACAGTCGTTGCAGGGATTATGTTACAGACATGCTGATTTAGTTCTTTGGTCATTTCTGAGGCAATAGTATTATGGTGTTTAGCAATTGCCCTTCCCAAATTTGTTAGTCACCACATGTTGCTTTGAAAGCACACATATCAATGAGCTGATTGTAAATCCGTTCATTGATACTTGCGCTTTCAAACCAACATACGATTTTCACATTTTGCAAATGTGTTTTATTTTCTCATATTGAGATAACTGTAACTGGAAATTCCAAATATATCTGGAATTTAGTTGCAAACTTTAAATATGTCCATATTCTTTGTTTTAATTTGTTCTTAACAGTTATATCACTCGACGTAGTTTCTTTGATTTTTTATTTTTTTTGGACTCTTCTATTTTAGACTCCTCTATTTCAGATTCCTTTAATCTTTGCTGAGCAGTTAACAATTACAGTAGCTGGACATAAAAGAGCTGTTGAAATAAGGTAACACAACAGCCTTCCTTTTACAGGAAGTTGCTCACAGAGAACAGGAAAAGAACCTGCTGATCAGGCAGTTGTGTGTTCTCTAGTAGGACTTCAGAAGTTCAGCAAACAAAAGGAAAGAAAAATGTGAAAGAATGAATATTCTCTGACCTCAGGCTTTCCCTCAGTATGTCTGGGTATCTTGTGTAGAGCAAGATGGAATATGGGAAGACCAAGCAATTGCCCCATGGGGATGAATACAATGTCACTATTTTATTTTTAATACTGTATGTGACTCAGTGGGATAGAGGCACTTGTGTACATGTGTGTGTGCATGCTAATAATTTCAAGTTAATAATTTCCATCTTACTGCTGGCGTTGATGTACACCTGCATAAAATAATAGCCATAAATATTATGAATAAACTCCACCAATTAACCACCAACGTCTTATATTACATGTATTTCTCAACTAAAAAGTTTTTAAGGGATCTATTTCATACACAGAAGAATGCACACACCAGTATTATATTTGTCTTGGATTTGAATGCTTTTACTCAACCAGATAAACTATTTGCATTAAGTCGATTTTTCAGAGAAGATATTTTGAAAGTATAGAAAGATTTTGGGGATATATGTAAGCTGAATACCGTTATATACCTCCCTTAGCATTCAACAAGGTGGTAACTGTTATATCCCAGGCAGCAAAAGTTTCCCTAACTTGTACTCAAATAGGCCTATCAGCATTGTTAGAAGCATTGGGATTATACGCAGAGCACTTGGGTTCTTTCTGCTATTGTATAAAGTCTGTGTATAAAACTAAAACTTTTGAACAGGAAGAAAATGTTCGTTTATGTGGGGGGTTAGCATTGCTGTGATTGTTACGTTTACAACTTAAGCAGCTCTGGTTATTAGAAATATTTCTGGCATAGTCCCTTTGAAAAAAGGAAACGCGCGATGCATGATTGCACTTCTATGTTTATTACTCTTTATTTTTTTTATGTGATCACAAGCCATTTTCAAATTATATTCGCTAAATATATAGTATTAATTAAATTAAATCGGGAAAGGTGTGGTTCTCCAAGAGTTAAATGCTGAAACAATTTCTCGACGCTGTGGGGGGAGTTAACCATCACAAGGAGACGTATCATTTCCAGCTAGTTCCTGACTGCCAGCAGCTTATTAGAAGCTAGACTGAGTAACTGGACCATAACCGAGTTTAAGATTCTAATGCTGCTAGATCTCTTACTGTTTTCTGTAGGTTGTTAGAAGTCTCTGGAGCATACTGAGCAGGAAAAGTGGGCGATCTAGTGGGTGAGTCTCCATTTTCACCGACCGGTATGTAGTTTTTAAACGTGAAAGACAAGCGAAGTGTTTTCCTGGACATACTTGGTAGCTAAAAACAGCTGATGTTTTCTACAGCGATGGAAATATAATTTACCAGACATATTGTACTTGCCAGAATATAGAGAGTGATCTTGGAATGGTGAAACTTAAAGTTAACATCCAAATTAAATAATAATAATAATAATATTTTGATAACAAATCTAATTAAACTGCCTTGCTATTAAAGGCATTAAGTCACTGGTGCAATATCTAGTTCAGAAAACAAACTTGTTAAAACTGCGTTTAGCAATGTATTCTTATTGCATAATCAGCATTTATTAGCACTTGTAATTATAGGCATTTCCGTGTTCATGAATAAAAGTGGGCCACTGAGAAATGTAAATGATTTGAAGGAAAATATCATATTGAATTTAATAGTTTCCGTTAAATCGGTATTTCTAGCCTGATTAGGTTAAATTAGATATGAAATATTAATCTGTCACTGTTTTAATTTAGGCGATCGATCGTACTGCTTTTTATACCCATACATTTAAATCTATTGCCCCTGTTCAGTTTTGATCCGTCTTTTAAATCTCTTAATTGACCTAATAGACAAATATACTGTAGATACTATATGGCAAGTGCTCTTCTTTAATCCTTGACAAATACATTTATGTGTGTGTTTGTGTGTATGTTTGTGTACTAAAACATAGAAATGTGTTCAAGAATAAAAGTGGGACACCGAAAAACTTGAATCTGTTGTCCATATCACAGGTTCCCATGTGTTATAATTAAAGTATCATGGTCTGGTATTCAACCACCATGTGTATTACTATAGTGACATTGGCCATCAGAATGTGCAGAGTTCTCTCTCTCTGTTTTTATAGTAAAACTTAGTAATACTGATTAGCACCACTGCTCACATTCCTGCACTGTATCCCTTTTTCTTCCTCTCTTTTTAAATGGTTTAATGAGGGGAAGTGCAACTGTAATTATTATCCAGCAAAGTGGGGACTGATATCTTTAAAGTTTGCCTTTTACTTATTTTTTGTATTTAAATTTCCCACTGTTGTGACCCCATCCTTAAGGATTGTAATGGGTTTACTGTTCCATTAAATGTCTTTTAAAAAGTAATGTACAGTATTACATGTTACCTCTTTGAATGGTATTGAATGTTAAAGAGTAATTGAACACTATTGTGGTTGGATATGTAATGCTCTTGTCCCTTGGGGATCTTGGACTATAGTGGCAAGTAGTAAAAATTAGAGACTCTTATCTGTATTCTTGATAGATAGATATAGATAGATAGATAGATAGATAGATAGATAGATAGATAGATAGATAGATAATCAATTATTCCTTTTCTATCAAAAAGGTTATCCTTGATACAGTTTACATGATACTCCATGATATGTGATACTTATATGACACAATGTACTTACTGTATATACTAAGAGCACTCCAAACATTACATTTCAGCAATTTCGCCTGGTAATGAAACATTATCACAATCAACATATTATGGAAACAGGAAGCATTTATACACATTATAGCTAGCAAATAGGGGGGCATTTCAAAAACATAGTATTCTGGTATGATTGCCACCCCACCTAGGGTGTCCCCTAAGATTTTGCCTGGCGCTTCCTGTATATGTGATTTTGCCTGTTTAAATTGCCATGCTGTACCCAAGCTGTACTATGAACTAATGGTTTTTCATGGTAAATTATGTAATCATACCCGTGCTAACATGGCCGTGATTACTAGCAGGGCCGAAAGCGTGAAAAATCGATCTGGCTGCGTCACCACCATCTTATTGGTCGAAATGCACGGAAATGCTGAGGATCTGTATCAATATGCATGGAGTATCTGATGGAAAAAAATGCATATTATATATATTATTCGGTATTAGTAGTATCGCACATTGCAATCTATTGAGGCATTCCAGGCAATTCGGAACTTGAAGATTTCTAACATTCCACTCATAAAAGTACTATAGAACAGCTGAACGGAATGCAAATTTATACAAGCTAATGCTTATTCCGCTAGCATTTGATGCAATATAACACAGCAATTCTCACAGACGTGGTAGCTGAAATGAGCACATAGTAAATCATGATCTACATTGTGTGAACAGTGAATAAATGCCTTTTCGGTTTTACATCACTGTCACCCTCCAAACCCAGAACCACCATTATACCAAGTCAGCCTGTCTGCAGTGGAAAATGGAAGCCAGCTGGAACCATGCTGTAACTAGTCTCTCTTGGTGGTACAGGTCAGATACAGCTTGGTTCCTGTATGCCAGTGGAAAAGCACCATATGTGTCCTGTGATGTATTGCCATTCCATCCAGGGTCTCTTCCAGCCTTGTGCCCTGTGCTGCCTGAGATATACTCCAGCCCCCAATGACCTGAGCTGGAAAAGCGGCTTTAAGAGGGGTAGATGATGTGCAGATATTTTTAAGGAATTTTCAAAAGTAGATTCCATGTTTTGTTATTATCATGGATGTGAATCTCCTGAGACATGGTCCTGAATGCCACCTCATGGGCCCTGAATGCCACCTCATGGGCCCTGAATGCCGCCTCATGGGCCCTGAATGCCGCCTCATGGGCCCTGAATGCCACCTCACCCTTTGCACCCCATCCCCACCCCCCCACTGTCTGATAAAACTGCAGTTTCTGAATGATCGAAGTCATCATATGAAAGGAGTTACTCTTATTGCAGAGGCCCATAACTTGTGTTTTTACATATTCTTGGCATTATATATTCATCTTTCTTGGCATGGATTCATCGATCCATCCATCCAACTTATATCTGCTTGTCCAAGTCATGGGGGGGCTGGAGAGGTACTTCATGACCCTGTCCTGGATTAGTGGTTATGGAAGATTGATGGATTCAATACAGTTGAAAAGTTCATTTCATGACACCACAAACTGAGAAGATCCAATACCCCACAAAGGTTCCACTTTGAAGAGGACCATACAGGGACGTGGAAAGAAGTTCTGGGCCTCCTGGCAAAATGTCCCCTTCTGCCTCCCAACAGGGTCCCCAGTCCGGTACATTGTGCTGACCAGACCTCAGTGTTATTATTTTACGGCCTTTATGAAATGCTGTGCCCCCTGAACCTGCCAGGGTATCCATGTCCCTCCACTGCCCCTGGGACCCTATATTAACCTTAAACTACATTTGGAAATAATTCACAGGTGTGTCTAAAAGCACAGCGATTTTGAACCTATAGTGCTGACAAAAATGGGTATATCCAGTAGATATGTTGGCTGAACCTTTCAAATTGGGATTGCTTAAAGCATTTGACTGACTTTAAGCATTTCGCTTTATCTGTGCAATTTATTTCTCTCCCCATTGTTTGTCTCACTTTTATTCACCCATTTTCTTTATTTCCCAGCCCTTTCCAAACATTGTTATTCTAATTCTTTACTGTTCCTCCCTCAATCTGTAGAACATAAGCGAATTTGGAACACAAGGGAGCCCACTGTCTAGGAGCTGCTATTTCATTCTTCCTTCCCTGCTGATTGTGAGGAGCTGGCCTCTTATCATGTCAACAGAAGCTGAAACTAACATGAACAACCAGCCAGACCAGGCCATTCCCCCAAAGACTACGCCAAAGAAGGAGAGGAAGAAAGGTATTCTTTCAATTGGATATTGATTTTTTGTTCAGTCAGTGAATGCTCTAAAATTATTTCATTGTGGCTCACAGTTGTATGTGTGCCATTAATATTTTATACTTTTGCTAGCTGTTGTGGTTTTCTCTTTTTGGCATGCTAAACATGCTATGTGCTTTTAGGATATTGTTTGGATTTGTGTACTGTATACATTGTAGGTTACCAACAGTTAACAACAACACAGGAATACACAGTGATCTTGATAATTAGGTTCTTTTGTTGCCCTATTTCATTTTTGTAATCCAAAAAGTGTTACAAAACCATCTAGCGTGTTGCTGTTAGAAACCTGTAATTATAATGTCAGATTTGATGTATACACTGCCTGGCCGGAAAAAAAAAAAGTTGTTATTTGAATTTATATCAGCAAATACTTAAGAGCCAATGACTGGATCATTATTACAGCTCAGCAACGTTATGCAGCAATAAAGTCGGCTGAGTACCTGAATCTACTGAATGGCCAGGTTACACCTCCATCCATCATCAGTAGATTTTTTCTTCCCTGTTGGCATTTGGCATATTCCAGGACAAGAATGCCAAGATTCATTGTGTTCGAATTGTCAAAGAGTGGTTCAGGGAGCAGAGTTGTGACCTTAACCTCACTCATTGAAGGTCCGTGGGATGTTCTGAAGGAGGCTTAATGGAGTGGTTCAACTCACTTGTCAATACAGGATCTCTGTGTGAAATGAATGCAACTATGGATGAAAATAAACTGTGTGTGCATAAGCCTGTGGAAACAATGCCATGACAAATGTGCTCCATAATCAAAGCTAAAGGTGGTCCAATGAAAAATTCAAATGGCAACTTTTTTTTTTGGCCAGGCAGTGTATTAATGCCATTTTGACCCCTGGGATAAGCTCCAAGCTCAGCATGGCTCTGTATCAGATATGGAGTTTTACTAGGATCTGACCAAGTAAAACCAAGCAATTTTAATTACAACACATTTACATGGAATTCGACACGACTGGTAGGAAGCACAACCCAGATGCAGCTGTAGGAGAAACTGAAAGGAGCTTCATTGAAATGGATATATTGATAACTGAAAGCAAAAGACCAGGGGTGAGTTTCTCGAAGCCTTCTTAGCGCTATGTCGTTCGTAAGTTCTATGTTAAAAGATAGAACTTACGAATGATGTAGCGTTAAAAAGGCTTCAGGAAGCTCACCCCTGGAGGGGAAAAAAACACAAGGTAGGGACAAACATCGAGGAGCAACTAGGATGAGTGGGGGCAGACTAACGAGGATCGAATGAGAGGCAGGTGTGATTGATTAGACCTAAGAAGGAGGACCCAGAATGGCCAACAGCAACCTCTTCTGGCCAAACAGGGGCATGACAGATAGCGACAGAATTCTATACTATTCTATTCTTCAGGTTTCAGGAAAGAATTTAATGCCTAAAATGTCAATAATTAATTGTATAATTTGAAAATTTGGAAATGAACAAATACAGTTCTTTCCATTGTTTTCAAAAGAAGTATCAATGTTAGACATGTATCTGAATTTGGATTATATAAATTTACTGGTTATCGGCATTTTACTTTACAATTATTCTTTATTAAGAAGGAAAAATGATTTTAAAAAAGAAAGCATTTTTAATTCCCTGGAGAGGATTACAGTGCCCTGGTGTTTCTCTGGATCTTGTGCCTTAGCCTGTAGAACTGTAGTCCCTTTGAAAGTAATCTTCACTGTCTGTGAGGTATTTAATGTAAAAAGATTAATCGCTTAATCATTAGAATATTGATATAGTTTAAACATATTTTAAAGGTCATACAGCAGATTGGCATGCCTCAGTACTACAATAATCCATCTACAAACTGTCAAGGTATTTTACTGAGCCAAATATATTATGTATGCCTATAAATAGTTTAATTCCTAGGTTGCTTTTAACATTATGTATTATTTTTTAACTTAATGTTAGACTGAGACAATGCCCCAATGGTTAATAACTGAATTGCATATAGAAGCATATACAGTATATGGAGCAGGCTGGAAAAATTTCGGAAAAATTATTCTGGCCTCCCTGTTTCTGTTTCAGTCCCAGAGAAGACAGATGAGTTTCTGCTGTCCAGATTCAAAGGTGATGGCGTGCGGTATAAAGCCAAGCTGATTGGCGTGGATGACGTGCCTGGTGCCAGAGGGGATAAAATGAGCCAAGATTCCATGATGAAACTGAAGGTTGATGAAGACACATAAAAACTGATTTTTAACAGATTCCTGTTTTGACATCAATGTCGCTATAGCCTACTATGGAGGTTTCCTATCTGGGGGGTCTTTATGGGGGCTTCGGTTCCTTAATCAATATACCATGTGCTGATTCATTGTGAAATCAGTTGACTTTAAATATGACCACTCAGCAGTTTACTCCTATCAAACACAGGGGATGAGTGCTGCCTCTCGGTCACAGGGAAAACATAAGCAGAAAGTCTGGATCAACATATCCCTGTCTGGCATCAGAATTATTGATGAGAAAACTGGGGTGAGTGTATTCATTTGGTTTATGTAGCTGGAAATGTGTATTTCATGATCAGAACATCTTATTGGTAAATCAATGCTATTGCTAGCATTTTTTGATTCATATAATATAACTTAACACATCTGGTCTGCCATAGGTAATAGAATATGAACATGCAGTGAATAAGATTTCTTTCATCGCACGGGATGTGACAGACAACCGAGCTTTCGGCTACGTCTGTGGTGCTGAAGGGCAGCATCAGTTCTTCGCTGTTAAGACTGTCCAACAGGTATGTGACACTGGAGTGAATGTTTGATCCTGGTCCCACTGCATGCCAGGTTCATTCCCTAGCCACTGACTTACAATGTTAGAGCAAATTAAAGAAAGGTCTGTCTTTGTTACGTTGGAGAAATATGTCCTACAATGAATAGATCATGAGGCTTTGGAGTTTGAGTGGCCCTAAATTACGAAAGACATCCACAGAACAAAAAGATAAAATTAAAAAGATACAAATAAGAAAATAATGTTTGTAGAATAAAAATAGCACTACAAAGTGCACTATAAATTGTTTACACAATGTATGAACATGAGATTCAGTGATGATCACTAGAGTAACAATGCACCAAAACTTACAAATGGATTTATTTTGTTAAAGGAAAATGTAATCATAGTTTATTTGTCATTTTGGATTTAGACAGATAAAAATTTGCTTTCTGTTTTCAGTGGCACACACATACATTGTGAGTGAATATGTCTGACTGAATAGGCATTGTTTTGTTGTTCTCAGGCAGACCCATTGGTTGTCGATTTGAAGGATCTTTTCCAACTAGTTTTCAACATGAGAAGGAAGGAAACCGAGGGCACAGACAAGGTCAGTAACTTTTGACTTTTAATACCAAAGTACGACTGTAGTATTCTTCGTGGCCTTTCAGTCTTTGGCATTTCAGCATTTCATACCTGCATCTCATTAGGCTTGGTCCTGTATACAGGTCCTGCCTGCTGCATGTGTTGTTGTCCCATTTTTTGGCTTGTTTAACTGTTTCTAGTTGCCGTGTTCATTTTGTATGTTAGTCTTCTAAGTCAGTTGTAGTAGATACTCAAGAAGAAACTAAAATACTTAGCTATTATGTTATAAAATTGTGTTTCATTCAGTCTTTAGTGGTAAAACCTGAGCTGACCTGAATTATTTTCAGTGCACAGTTATTTTCCACATTCACCTCTGTGCAATAAGCAGTAAGACAGATGGATAATCAAAAGTCTTTCCATTACGCTAAATGTTTCCATTAAGCTAATAAACATCACTAGTCATGTTTCTTTTGTTAATTGCTGGTGACAAACATGAGAATGTAATATTAAAGCTCAAACGTCATCCTGTCAGACACATCTAGGTTTTAAAATGTATCCACAGTGTTACGTATTTCTAGTTTAACTTGAACTGTATTGTCAAGGACTGTTATTTGAAGTTTTATGGTGATTTTGTGTGTTTTTATTGAAACCACGTGGGATTAAATAAGTGAAACTGTATTATTCTAACACTGACATCTACCACATTTACAGTATGGTTCTTGCATTGAGTTAAACGAAAACAAGCTCACTACATGCAAAGGTGCCAATCCACCTTCCGACTCCATACACACTAAGGATCCTTTATAGTGTTATTTTAACAGTCACCATTACATCATAGAAAAGTAATAGAATATGCCTAATCCTTTTCAACTTCAGGTTTGTGTAATGCTGATCTATTAAATGCTATGGCGCATTTTGTGAAAACAACCACTTTTACTAAAATTGTTATTTCAGAATCCCTCGTGAATTCTCCATAATTTAAGTCCCTGCCCACTCTCCATTTTATATAAGGACTGCAACACTGACTAGGTCTATGAACCTAAACCCTCTCTTGGATAAAATGAAGCACTCCTGTTTCTCATGTCCCATTACATATTGTTTTTCTCTCTATGTCTCTCCCTTGATCCAGTGTGATGAACAGATTAATCTTTTTGGACACACATTATCACCACCAGATTTACAGTCTTCCTCGGTAAGTTACCTTATTGCTGGTCATTTTGACACTTTCTATATTGCATATCAACTGTGCTAGAATACTAACAATATAAATGTAGTAGATTGGTTATTGAATAATTAGAGAGAGTCTCATTCTTCTTAGTTTTTGCACTTAGAGATTGATACACCTTAACATCATTAGAAGTGTGTACTTGTTAGAAGTGAACACACTTTTATATGTAAATGATGGTTTACTAACAAAATACACAGAAACCCTGATGTTTCACCGCCTGGGAGGAAAGTGGAAAAAGCAGAAATGAATAGTAAAGTAATATCAGAGGTTAAGGGGCACCCATTTGATGGCTAAGCACTTCCATGCTGATAGCTTGCAACTGAACTCTCATCACCCTCTGTCTCATGTAGTAGGACAGTTCTTAACTGCCTGCCTGACATGTCTGTGTGGAAAATTAAGGAGTAGAAGAATGTAGGGGACATTTGTATTAATAGCAAGGAATACTTCCTTGCATGACTTTGCATCTGCAAGGTCCAGTGAGATAGAGACTGAGAATCTGAAGAAAAGCCTCACCCACCAAACCTTAAAAGTGATCTCATCTATTTTTTTGTACTTCAGTTGGAGGGGAAACTGCAGTCACCATAGGTCATTGCTATGCAGCCATGATGGGCCACCCTCTGTCAGAGGAACCCTAGATGCTGAACCTCACCCTTTAGCAATAAGCCCCCTCTGGAAATGCCACAAGTCCCCATACTACCATTCTTAGGGCAGGGACCTTGACAGGGGTTGAAACTAGAGGACTAGGTTTGGGCTCCAGCGTTGCAAGGGTAGATGTTTTCCAGTTCTATGTGTACAGCCAAAGAAGAAATCTATGTCGCTGGAGCCAGTGTGATATTTACTTTGGCAGTCAGTAGACAAAGTCATTCAGATTACGCTCTCTAGCTGTAACCACTGTCTGGTGGAATCCAGGGGAAAGGCATGTTGTTAAGGTTGCAGAATCTCTTCTGGTGGAATTTTACTGACTGGCATATTCTCTCCAACACCACCCTCTTCAGAGTGTCGCCTGGCACAGTTACAAGTAGGCATGTGGGGTTCTATTGCCATAGGTAATAAAAGGTGGATAGAACATTCCTCCACCAGTCACTTACCTGCAGAAGCCATCCTCATAAACATCTCGACAGAAGCTTCTGGGTTTTCTTTGGGACCTATTTTCAGAATTTGGATCAGCACAGGTGGCAGGGAGATGGGTAGTGGGAATTAGGCAAACAGTTCCTGAATGTCAGCTCACTCCTCAGTCTGGAACTCCACAAATGTGTGCAGAGTGTCTTTTATTGTTACATTCTGCAGGTGCAGAAGCCTGATTATAGACAGATTGCAGGGTGACTAGTTATGTGAGCACCCAAAGCAGTTCTGGGTCCTGTGAACAACTGAATTCCTCCAGGCAAGATGGTGAACAGAAAGAAATGACACAGGGATAAAAGCAGGGAATGGGAGTGTTATTTAGGGGACAGAAGTGGAAACAGGCTTGACAAAAGTAGCATGAAAATTAAAGATGGTCAATTCAGCCTTAGCAAGAAGAAAGGCACCACAGAAAAAGAACATGGCAGTGGGGTCAGATATTTGGGTCTTGGGACATTTACAAGAGGTAACAGGAACGAAAACTCAGCCATATATCATGATTGGCAATAAGCAAGAAGTGACAATGAGAAAATTTCCCTGCGCCGAATGAGTTAATCACCTAACTTCACCTTGATAGCAAACTATACTTCTGCCCATCCAAGCCAATTTTACAAAAGCATTATCATCTTTTTTAAAGAGGTTTTGCCCTTTATAACATCATAGTATTTTATAATGTGTCGTAGTATTTATATTGCATACCTTATATCAGTAAGATTATTTGCTTTTTCTCGTTTCCCATAAGGGGCTATATGTAGCTTAGGGGATCAGGGCTGTGAACAGACAGTCTGGGGTTTGAATTTTGTGGATGGCAGAATAATCATATTACCCTGTGGCCCTTAACCCCAGCTGCTTCAGGGATGTTGAACGACGCTGTTCTTTGTTCCCACAATTTCCTTAATTGTACATCACTTTGGTACTGAATATATTTTTGATCCATAAACAAGAATAATTTTAATTTTATGATATGTACTGTATATGACTGCTTTGGCTCTGGAGTATACAGCTAATTTAAAGTACTTTATAATGTTTTAAAATTTTGTTCTTATTTCAATTAACAGGAGACTAAAGATATCCTACTGTTGGATCTTTCCACTGACATCGACAACAATCAAAACTGTGTAAAGGGAGAGTGTTTGGCAGCTTCCTTTGTCCCTCAGATAATGCCTGAATCAAACCCCTCCCTTGAAAAGCCCTGCCCTCCTCAGGTTAGCTTCTTTCCCACTACCTTGCCAGACCCCTTCAGCGATGACCCCTTCCCAAAAAACAAAGACCATCCTGCACAGCCTAACCTTGTGGCTCCCCCCATGGTTTTCAACCACAGACAAGTAAGTCTCGATCAATTCTGTAGCTCACCGAATGTCAACGGTCACCATAATGGTGACTCTGACTGCTTAACTCAACAGTTTGATGAGCTATCCGTTAGGACTGTTACCCAGACATCATCTGACAGCCAGTGGCCAGTACAGTGTAGGGTCACAGAGGAGATCCCAGTGAAACTGCAGAGAGCTTTACAATACAGATCCATGCAGAATCCTTTTCTTGAAGTATCTGATAAAAACTTACCCTTGCTAAATGTTGTGAAAAAAGAGTCAGGGGGCACCACTGAGCCCCCGTGTCACCCAGCCATGGATTCAGTGATCATTAGCCCTCCTCCACTCAACACAAAGGCTGGACGAGGAAGGAAATGCATTAAGGTGAAGGCACAAGCCAAGCTTATGTGTACTGCATGCCTTCAGCATTCTGGTAGACCATTACAACAGCATATGCTCCTAACGCTAACCCTTTAACATGGCATATATTCACTTGGGAAGTTTTTTTTTAAGTAAATTAAATGCATGAAAAGTGCATGAAACAGTGAAGGTCCTGTTCTGTGGTTATAGAATTGCAATTAATAATGGTGCTATTCTGCAAGTATAACTCACCTTTCAGCTTTTACTTTATCATGCTCAGTTACCATGTTTTTGTTTTACTTTTTTGCATCAGATCTTATCTTGAAGGTAAGCTGTTGATAAAGGGTTCCCTAAAAAACACTGGTAGTTTCGAGGCATAATACATTTATGTGATGCTGACTAAATATTTTTCCACTTATATTACTTGTAAAAAAATCAGGCTAAAGACTAGAAGTCTGACTAGACAAAATATTACATTTTATCAACAGTCCTCCACAAACAACCCATTTGGAACAGACCAGTATGCTTCATCCAGTCACAGAGAATCTGGTCCACCACAGCCAGATATTCAAACCAAACCTGTTGCTAACTTTAGTGGCGATCCAGTAAACAGCAACACTACAATGCTAAGTTTGGGTAAGATATGCAAATTATATAACCTGTAACATATTTCCTGTGCTGATAATATATAAATAGGATTCTTGTGTGTGAATTAATTTCTCATCTGCAGAATGTTGATCTCTTTCTTCTAGGAACTTTGTCGCTGGGTGCTCCAGCTCCAAACTTAGGGGCAGCCCAGTGGGGTCAAGCAGCACCCTCCATATTCCTTGTTCCCGATGGCACTTCTCAGTCCACTTCTTACCCCCAGTTTTCAGTTTTCGGTGCCTCACCAGCACCTGTGTGGGGCCAAGCACCGCCAGCATTTGGAATCGCTGCTCCTCCACAGCTCCCGGCCTGGGGTCACACAGCTGCAATGGCACCACCTGCTGGATGGTTTCAGGATTCACATATGAGTAATCCCTTCCGAGCCGACATGCTCCCAAAAGGAACACACCTGTCCTCCAGTCCTACACCAGAACCTCCATCACAGTCAACTCCATCGAAGGGGATCTCAATGGTGGAAAATGATGCCTTCGCAGCTCTAGATCCTCTCGAGCAGGAGCAGAAAAATGGGAAGGATATGTTTAAAGATTTCAGGAAAGTCAAGCCTCTGCAGGTGTCGGCTCAGAGAGGTGAGCTTTTGGCTGCTATCAGAACCTTCCCCCAGTACCTTCCTGCAGATTAGTCTTACTCCAGGAAGTTGTTGATACCCACGTCAATCAAATATCAATCAGATGAAACAGAATAGTGTAATAGTGTAAATTTTGTAAAATGTAGATCTTAAGATCATATTATTCAAGGGTTGATTTTCTCATATTTTCTCAAGTTATATCCTATCATCAGTGATTAATCATCTTATTTTGGTTTAAAATCTACTAAAAGACTGCAACATTTTCATCACGCATGTTTGTTTACACTGCAAACATGTTATTTTCATCAGTTATTTGGGAGAGAATAGCCTAAATGGTCTGTTTAATTTTAAAGATCACGATGAATGGTTCTTCACATTGTTTACCCCCCAGGTTCCCCATGCCCTAGCCCCGCTGCCTCAGCCCCTCTGGTACGTCACTTTGATAGCCCATCTAGCTGTAATATGTTAGGTGGGCACCCTTCTGCATAGGTACATTACCCAGCTGTACTCAGAGATACTAAAGAGTGCCATGCTTAGAATATTTACAAGTAACTGGCTTATTTATCGCTAACAGTTTCAGAATGTATTCAGTAATGTAGCAAAAAGGTACTAAAGATAATACTGTCACTCCACATTTCTGAGGGTTAGAGCTGGAAGATGCTCACAAATGTGAAAATACTTAGGTCCATTATTGACAGCACTTGACAACTTCTTTTTTTTTTAACCAAAAATAACTTTAGATTAAAGACATAGTATGCATGTACACTTAAAATATTTAATAACACTAATATTTATATATTATATGAATTTATATAATATCTTTCAGTATTGTTTATATATTTTTTTGTTTGTGCATCATCCAAAAATACTCCCATTTAAGTGTTCACAGCCACCTCGTGAATGACAAACTGCGAATGTCAAATTCACAAATCTGGGGGGGCGACTGTATTTTAATGTTTGCATCATTGACAGCTCACATTATTGAAGTATATCTATATTTTAATCATTATAAGTATTTAAGCTTATATAAGTTTGTACATTATTACATACTGAAAAATTCCTCACTCTTTCCCTGTATAACAGGTCAAGCCCCCCGCCCAGCCTGTCACAACAGCCTTCTGTAGCAACCCTTTCGCATAAGGGATGTCCATCCTGCCCGGCAGCAAAAATGTGAGTGTGATGAAATCATTTAGAAAGGTGGTGAACTTCTGGAAGCATTTACTCACTATTGAAAATATTTAAAGTACCTGGATTCAGAAATTAACTTATATTTTTGAGAAATTCTCTTGTCTTTTCCAGAAAGCCCTTGTCATCCAGATGTAATCAACGAGGAATCCAACTGCTCCAACCCAGTCCAGAAACTTAAGATGCAGATGATGTAATTCGTCAAAACCTCATTTACCAATCAGACCAATGAGTGACCAAAGTGATTTAATGTCACGTATGGACCTTCAGTCATATCAGTGCTGAGTGGTGTTCCCCTTGTTATTCAGTACTAGCAGATATAGAGAGGTGCCTGTACTCCCCTTGTTATTCAGTACTAGAGGATATCGAGAGGCCCTTGTCATTCAGTAATAGGGGACATGGAGAGGTGCCGGTACTCCCCTTGTCATTCAGTAATAGGGGACATGGAGAGGTGCCGGTACTCCCCTTGTCATTCAGTACTAGGGGATATCGAGAGGTGCCAGTACTCTGAAGCAAAAACACAAAGATGTGCTGGTACTACATACAGGTACCAGTGAGTACCGGCTCACTTCGAGCACTGAGTCAAAGCAATCTGCAGTGTAAATAAAACTAGATCCTGCATACAGCAGTCCCATGAAACACACTATAACATGTAATTAATATTGTATGGCACTAAAGATGGTGTGTGGATTGCCTGCAGATAATTGTGTATAATCAACTATGAACAACTGATGCGTCCTTTTCTCCCATTTTATGTATTATACCCATGTTCTTCATGATGTTGTACAGTTCCAGGATAAGAGCTAATTGATTGCTTATGATTGAATCTTAAAGTATATTTTGATTAGAAGTTGGACTTAAAGAGTGGATGACCAATAATAATGTCAAAACTAGTTATGAAGTCTTATGTAGTTGTTTATTTTTTTCTAAATAAACTGGCACATTTAGATGGTGTAATTTTTTATATTGTGTGTATCGTTCATCAATCAAATGACAATCTGTACTAGTTTATATAAAGGCGATTTCTGTATTTTTTATTAAACTATGATGATACTTTGAACCCGGACAGTTGCAACCTGGACATTTGCAACACTACATAAGGAAAATGTTTTTTCTGGACTTTGGTCTATGTGACTCATCAGACAGAAATGTTGAAGCATTATGTTTAAATGCACAGTACATGAGACATGAATTATTCTGTTATTGATAAATATCAAGCAGCACCATTTTGCAGGTTAGACACGATTCATAACAAATATTGTGGTTGTAACTTACGACTTCTTATTTCACTGGTCACAGAATTTTTTTTAGTCGAGCAAAGCAAGCGTGTGAGCAGAGAGAAACAAAGCGTTTAGGATTTCAGTACAGTTTAGGGCACAAAAATGGCAAAAAAAACACAAGAAAAATGCGAGCTATAAAGATTACTATGAGATATCACGTGAGATGCTGCCATAAACACGCTTGGTGTCCTCTAAACCAACACCATATATATTTTATGTATTTATGAGTTACTAAAAAAAAATTCTCATTTCATTCACATTTAATGTCTTGCCAACCCAGCAATACATCAAAACCACGATGGGAAAAGAAATGAAGAAGAAGGCTTGACTGTACAAAGCTTACCAGGCTGCTGATGATCCTATGCTGAATGCACACTACTGTAATGTACTGTGTTTAGTACATAATGAATAAAATCACACACCATGTATGATGCCAAAACCTGGTGTAGTTAGTTATATAGGCAGTTCAACTAACAAATTTCATCACAAATTAATATTAAATGAAGACAGTGTTGCAATATACTGTATGACTGATTCTCTGAATCAGGTGCCCTGTAGTTCTCCAGACTTCTTCAAAGATTTTCAATTGAACCCTTAACCCCCTAATAATGTATCAGCCCCTGTGACATCAGCATTGAGGAAATTACATCACACAAGTCTTATGAACAAAATGCTGCAAAGGCAAGAGTCTTTTGTTACCTATTTTTCATTGTTTTAATGTCAGATTCAACATTTAACTCTACTGTATGAATATATGATAGTAATCTATTGTTTAGGAAAAATAAACAATAGTCTTGCAAAAGATTACAATTGTATAATGTCCTGAATGCCATGTGGTCAATATGGATGTAAATATGGAGTTATGGCTACTATAACCAAAAATGTCTACCCCAATAAATTCAACCTCATCACATTTTTTATTGCAATGGGGTTGAATCATTGTGATGGGGTTGAATGTCTGACACTAGTAGATGACCCTAATGTAGGCTTTGATTTGAACTGTCTGAAATAATTATTAATGTTACTTTATGTGTTGTCAGACATCACAAAGACAAAAACAGCAGCAGAAAGGAAAAGAGAACACAGGGCAAAAAGGGATGCAGATACAGAGAGAATGGAAAAATACCTCATACATGAGCATAAAAGGTGGAAATGGGACATTTAGATGGGGAAAAAGGAAAAAATAAACGATCTAACGAAATATGTGCAAGGTGTGGAGGACATCTAAAGAAAGACAGAAGAAATCAGAAGCTTTGATGAATATTAACACTCCTCCAGAACGTCCTCATATTAACAAGCAAAGAACCCCAGATCTGGGTCCTCAAGGTCAGTTAATAGGGGTTACTTCAGATTACATGAAGTTCGGAAGTATAAAAAGCTTTTTCATTAGGATGTGTGTGTCAGTCAGGGAGTGAGCGTACATATACTGTCCATGTCAGATTTTTAATGTCTGCAGCAGTTTAGTAATCATGAATTCCCTGGTTTTGTTTTTAGAAAACATTTGGGGGGCAAGAAGTAATCCCAAAGAGCCAAAGAGCAAGATACAAACTACACAAAGAAATAGCACAACAACCTTAGCTATGCTAAATAGTTATAGTTGTATATTTGCAAACAGGAAGGAAATCCTGTATTTTCATTTTATTTTCAGTACACTGCTTTACCAAAAGTGTTAGTGACATCTGGCATTCAGCTTTGACTTAATATGAAAAATTTAGCGTCTATGCTATTCTGTGGCCTGTACTACGAAGCGTTGTTACTGGCTTATCGGGGTAACTTGTCGGATTTAAGGTAAGTGAATGAATATGAAGTCCATTTAAACTGTGGTACCTTAAATCTGTTACCCCGATAAGCCAGTAACCCCGCTTCGTAGTACAGGCCACTTTTTTTCCTCCGTATCCCTTCAGCCCCACGTGCGTCGCCGCCCCACGTGCCATCCCAGTGAAAGTCCGTCAGATCTGTTCTGGCTTGTGTACTCCTTTCGTCGACGAAGCTTTAAATTTTGTGTTAGCGAAGTAAACTAAAACTGTATCCTCCTGGTGAGGTTCCGACTTAGCACGGACAATAATTTACCTCCAAGTAAGCATTTCTAATGTACCATGCCGTTTTAAATCTAGTAGCTTGTGGCGTGTTAATTCACTTAAATGTAAACTGCTGAACCTTGAAATTCTTCACCATATTTAAATGCCTCTAGTTACATACAGATTAATTTAATTTGCGGTTCTCTTAAAAGCGTTAAGACGTTCATATATCTACTTGTCCATAGAAAGACTACTGTTACTATAAAATCACGTTATCACGAGTGGTGGAGCGGAACACTAACTGGCTGCCAGGTATTACGGCAATAAGCATTTTTAATAAGCAGTTTATGGAAGGTGTTTGTAAGTGTTTATAAGGGTGCTAAAAGTATAAATTAAAATTGCACACCGTGAAGTAATAATTTAATGTAACGTACAGCTAGAAAGCTGCAGCATTCGTGCCTGTACGAAAATCTTTAGGGGTAGTTCTGTATTTTAGAAGCTTGTCGAATTACAAGTCGTGTTGCTAGAAACTTGATATTGCAGTGTTATGTTTTACTTAATTTAATTCGTGGTTGTTTCATTTACTTTTGCTCTGTTTAAATGAAACGCCAGAATCGTGATGTTCGCCCAGCATTCGTTGCACTTACGTAGTGTGTCAGATGTCACGGCCATGCTTAAATACCGGCAGTAATCTTTACCAGCCCTGTCAGAAAGTTAAAATTACAACCAGGAATGGTCAGCCGTCAGAATTCGCCTATATGTTGTCTCTGATTGCAACTATACTGCCTGTAATGATATGTATTTTTTTAACTTCTTGACAGGATGATGCGTCGAGCCAGAATCAGTGTGCGGCCAAATGTGAGGCCTGTGGGTAGAGGACCATCATCTTCCAAAGATGGTCAAAGTATGCTTGCTTCAACAGTTAATTCTCTGGCAGCTGGGGAAACCAGCCAGACCATAGAGATGGTGTCAAATGTCACAGATAATGAACCTGCACCAGAAGAGTCTGTCATAAAGTTCCCAGAAGCTTCAGAATTCACCTCTATCCATGACACCCTGTCAGAAAAGGCTTTGTGTAATTTGTAAGTACATAATAATTTAAATTGGTGGAATAAAACTTCCTTTTGACTAACTTGTTGCACATTATGCTGTATTTCTTATATGCATCTAAATCTGAATATAAATGAAATTATTTCAGGTTAATATGTTTGTGTTTGACACAGGGGTGAGAATGGTCAAACTTGTGAGGCCTCCGGTGACTGCATCCCTGCAGACACTTCATTAAAGAGGAAAGAAAGTGTATCTGGTGTATGTGACATTGCACAACCCAGAGTGATTCCCAAACACTTATCAGCTAAAGCATTGGAGTCCTCTGTTTCAAAAGCTGTCACAATGGCATCATGTTCTGTGGCTCCAGTATCTGTCCCTGATGACCAAACAGTAACAGAGGATGAAGGCCTTAAGTGTCAAGGACAACAGAAGCTCCCTGTTCGAGGAAAGCGGCCCAGGAAAGCAGAGAATCTAGGACTTGCTTTCACTGGTGTGTGTGTCCCTTCACCGGAAGATCTGGCTGTTTCTATGAGGAAAGAATCAGAGTCTCAGCCCTCAACATCCGCTGTAGTCCATGAAACATCAAGCATGTCCACATATCAGGAGAGGATCATAAAGTCACGCATGTTAAAACAGCTAATGAAAGAGGAACTGAGGAAGGGGAAGGTGAGTTTTAGTGTTCAGATTGTTGATATGGTTTATATTAATAGTAAAACTATTCTTACCTACATATGGATTCCACAACTTTCAAGAATGAGGTGGTTTTCCTACAGAATAAGTACAAGCCACACCTGGAATACATAAACCCTCTGGATCACAGCAAGATGACCATGAGAGATCTCATCTACTACCTGCCAGACAGCAATCCAATGAAGTAGGCTGAATGATCCACCCAAACTGGCAAGGGTTTTGCACAAATTTGCTGTTGATGCTTTATATTTGTATTCAACAGGTCCTATATGACAGATGAACAAGCAGGAAAGAGGAATCCACGATTACTCAGCAATGAGTAAGGCTGCTATTCAGTACTGCAAATGAAGGAAAATATTAGCAGGCCTTATTTCAATGTCTTAAATACATACAGAAATCAATAGAACCAATGCATCAATGATATATTTCTTATTTGGAGAGAAAATATGGGCAAAATCTGTTCATAGATTTGAATGTAAAAAAATATTTTAAGTCAAGTGAAATTTTATTTCTGAGTATGCAGGCATACAATGCAATGAAATTGGGTTTGTGACATTAAAAATAACTTTCCACATAACTTGACAAGTTAGATAAGACAGAAACAAATAAGTATGCTGTACGTATACTTCACCACTGAACTATGGCTCTGCATATGGTTTTGATTGCCCATTATTTTAGAAATGTACATGTAAACATTTCCTTAAGGACGAAAGAAATACCACAGAAGGAGGCTGAAGTAGAGGAAGATGATTGTGATGAGGATTTATCTCAGAATGATGATGAGCTCGTAGTGCCCAAGGTGAAAGTTGCAGAAGATGGTTCCTTGATGCTTGATGAGGACAGGTATTTGGGGTCGCTTTGGCTCACCAGGGTGCTCGTGCCTGTATGTATGTGCAGTGATATGATTGGCATGTCAAGTTTGATAGAAGAAAATGATTCCCACATTAAACTGCTCACTACAAGGTCTGTGAATCATCATGAGTAACTGGGTCATAATTTCTGGTAAGAGACGTTGCTGTTGAATTTTTCCAATGTATTTTTTGGCACTTAAATCACCAGAGAAAGAATGCCATTTGGTTCCATTACAATCAAGAGAAGACCAACAGTTCTATGGCTGATATCTCCAAAACTAGGCAACTCCCAGCAAAACAGCCTACATAGATATATAGCACTACAGCCCCTCTAAAACATATCTTTTTCAGTTTTGTGGTGAACTGCTCCTTTAAGATGACTTCGGCAATATTTGTTCATTTCAAATGCCATAGCACAAACATCCTATAACAATGTAATTGAACCTTTGTATGACAAGATAATACTTGTGTGTGACAGAACATGATTTAAAAACTGACTGGTTATAGGTCATCTCTCATCATGTTCATTTCTGGTGTTGAACAGGGCTGAAACCTAGGGTAAAGTAAAAACAATTCTTATTTTGGCACAGCTTGACAAATTAAAAATGAGAGAGGAGTGAGCTTGAGGGTCATTATACACGTTTTTGCCTTCCTGCTTCAGCTACTTTGTATACATGTTAATTGTGTATATTTCAGCTTGACTGTGAAAGTCTCAAGAACTACAGGCCCCACTATAGTGGAAGAGAATGACCCTCTTTTTGAGCGTGGTTCTACAACAACATATTCTAGCTTTCGGAAGATCAGACACGTGAAGCCCTGGTCCATTAAAGGTTAGAGAACAGAGAGGGATTCGTTATTGTGGCTTTTTTGTGATCTTTGACTTGAAAATGATTAAAATCAGAAATACTTTGGTAAATGATTAATCATAAAGTTTCAGACTGTTGTTTGTTTTGAATATCCTTTCTTACACAAACTGTTTCCTCTTTCCAATAGAAACTGACATGTTCTTTCTGGCTATCAGTATGGTGGGTACAGATTTTTCTATAATTACCCAGCTCTTCCCTCATCGTCCCCGGAAGGAAATCAAGGTACAGCAGATTTCCAGCAGTCAAACTTTCTATGATTTTGGGTGTAATAGTTCTGAATGTGAGAAGGAGTTTAACGTCTGCTGGATTGGGCTGAAGTTACAGCACTCCTTTTCAAAGGATAGTAATACTGCAGGGAACATTCGCTGTCTAATTATCAACAACTTTGGACTTGTACAGCGCTTTGTGACTTTTGTTTGTGAAAAGCACTTTATAAATAGTTTTACTTACAATAATAGAACATAAGGCAAGACATGACAGGGAAGTAGACATACAAGACATTTGCAAATGAACAAAACAGCTGAGATGGTGCGTATATTATGAGTATATTCGTGTATTCGTGCTATTGACAAGAAGACAATCTGCACTGAATGTGTATCCTCAAAAAATTTAATGTTTAGGGATGCTGAGTTTTACCGAGTTTGATAAGTTAACCGTTAAAAGTTAACAAAATGAATTGTTCATTTTTGGATAGTATTTCCAGTTGAATAGCATGGTTATTTATTTGTTTATTTATTTTAATAATATGGGGCAATTATAAATGCCAAAGCCAAGAATCTTTGACATTCTTCTCATGATGTGTGGCTAAAATGTTTTAACATGTCCAAAACAATAGAGCATGGAAATAATCATCGATTGATACTAGACACTGGGTACATGTATTATTTTGGTAAAAACAGATCTTTCTGTCTGCCATTGGTACAAATAGATAGGAATTTGACATACCCTGTTATGCTGTTGTATAAGGCGCACTCCTGCATATGAGCGCAAATCTTGGGGTCAGAGCACAGGGTTAGCCGTTTATCTGGCACCCTGGACAATTTTTGTGCTTAAGGGCCCAGCTCAAGAATCCAAAAGTGATATGAATACTCCAGTGGTGAAATGGATCTGTATGGACCCNCCCCCCCCCCAATAACAGTGTGAAATACAGTTTTACTGCCACTGTTACTTTTTAAAGTATCCATGTGTCTTTGGGTGTAGTCTGTTTTTGCATGTTTCAGCGATTTTTGTAGTTTTATGAACAGAGGAGCACTCGGATTAATAAAGTTCAAAAAATAAATTTCACAAAGCTTTTATGTAGTAGGGCTGGAAATGGCTGTGGTTTGAAATATTAAATTTTAAAGGCTGTTGTAGACTTCCTTTTTAAATGATGGAAATTCATGTCACTGGTTTAGCAACTCTAAAGAATAGCAACTAGAATAGAATGATATCAAAGTGGTAGGGATATGGATAGAATATTTAAACGGAGTGAATGGTTTTTGTTAAATCCTTTATAAACATTTTTATATGTATTTATATAGTTATCTATAAATTTAATACCACATGTGTTTGAGAGGTTATGTTATTTGTTTTTTTTTCTCCCTCCTGTAAAGCAACCTTGGGATTGTGAAAGGCACTATATAAATGTAACCTATTATTATTGATGTTACATCTGTATTGTTTGTCTATTTCACATCCACAGTCTAGAGAGAGAAACTGAGTTATGTATACAAGTTTGATGATCAGATGTTATAAATTATGGTTTTATTTATTCACATCAATGGAAAAAATAACATAAGATGTAAAAGAAAACAAAACTCTTAATTCTTAGAAAAAATAGTAACTGACTAAACATTCAAGTGCCTGAAATATAAATGAATATTTCATGTATTAACAATTAGATTGTTCAGTTAAATGGTTATATTCAAAATAAGACATTTCATTTTTTCAGTGTTGTTTTGTTCCTCTGCTGATCTGTTTCACATGAACCAAAAAAAGCAAAATAATTACAAATTAAATGAGTGCCTGAAATGTAAAAAAGTAAAGTATTTCAAGTATTAAGTTAAATTAATCATAAATGTATGGAGTCAAACTGTGGCCATATAGTGCTGCAAACAAATGTGTGTACTGTAAACAAAGGCACTTATACAGTGTATTGCAAACAAAATGTTTTGAGTTTTTTTCTTTGCCAAATTTTTTGAATATGTATTTTTTGTGATCGTTCTTTACGTTTCACTTTTTTTTGCTTTGCAGTACTTCTTTCTCTTTGCGCTGTATATTTCTTTGCATTTCACTTGGTCCTCTTTGACACTGGGTGGATGGGGATCTGTGAGGGTGTCACTGCCCAGTCCTTACCACCTGCCTGATTTGTACCTCACAGGTCTGTTCATGCGCAGCATTTCCAAGCATGCGACCACCACGTTACATTTTCTGGCCCTGCCCATGCATATACTTCATCACTATTTCTGGCACTGCCCGGTTCATTCCTCCTGCCATTTCTTGACAAACCATATTGTCTACATTCACAAAAAATATAAGTAAGGAAATAAATAAATGAATGAATAAATTAATTCGATATGACAATACATTATCAAGCCATTTCATATGTAAAAAAAAACGTATTGAATATAAGATAAAAAATTGATGCATTGCCCAGCCTTAATCCATCCCACAAAAAAAATGTATTTAGGGACTATAACTCCTTCCTGTTGCACACAGTATCAAACACTGGACATTTGAAACCAAGATATTCTTTTTGGTTTGATTTTCACTGTAGCATAATCAGCAAGATTAGTAAGATGAATGACATGGTGAAGATAGTGTTGTTAGCGGTGCATTTATTTGATGAAAGTGCAACTACTGTGAGTCCTGTATTTACATTTTTCCCCACATGCTAATTTTCTCAGACCATTTTCCTAATTGTTTCTGTATGTACACATCTCACAGAACAAATTCAGAAAAGAAGAGAGGATAAACGCTTGGAGAATTGACAAAGCCTTCCGTAAGTTATTTGAATAACAATAATGGCATTTTAATTGTTGCCTAGAAATCTGATACGTGGAGCCACATCAGTTCTGTCCTACGTTCTTGGTGTTTCTCCCTATAGGTGAAAAACGCCCATACGATCAACAGTTTTTCAGCATGCTGTTGGGAAGAATCTTGGCCACAGAAAAGAAAAAGAGAAATGTCAATACGAGAGACTCTAAAGCAAAAAAAGTGAACACCCAGGAGTCTAAACCAAAAAAAAAGAAAAAGAAGACTGAAATGGAAGGTAAACTACCAGTGACAAGCTTTTAAATCATGTTTTATTTATGCCTCAATTTATATGTATTTTACCAATAGATTTGCATTTAAATATACTGTAACCATCATTTGAAAAGTATTTGTATTGGTCCATTTATGATTATTGTGTTGCTGCCTGATTTCTGAGTGTCAGTCAGGGAAACTACACAGCAAGATGAAAGTCATATTACTATCGAGGAAGAGGAATCAGACTGCAGAGTGACTGAAGGAAATATGGAGATGACAGAAAAGGAGAACGAGGACTCTATTAATTTTTTGAAAGTTGGAAAGAAAACGCTCCCCAAAAAAAAAACGGGTAAGCGCAGATACACTGAGGAGGTGGCAGACACCTCAGCAAAGCCAGTGCATGGAAAAAAAAGGAAGATGAAGACCTCAGGTATGGATTTTTTTCTTTTTATTTTAAAATGATTTACATAGTTTTGTAATATGTACAAATGTTAGGTGTTGGATATGATATATAATGTATATTTTTTATATTATAGTTGAGATAATAAACTGTGATGAAGTTGGTGATGTTCAAACATCTAGTGAGGAACCTGAAAGGTAAAAACCTTGATAAATGACATTGTGATGATCCTAGTAGGTTGTTAGCATATATTTTTTGAGCCTTGTTTCCTTGTCTAGCACAATGGAACACACTGCACCAGGGGACAGAAGCAATGGAGCCATTAGCACGTTATCCCCATCTTCCAGACGCTGCTGCCAGAATCCAACTGCCAATATAGACAAGAGAGTGAGAAAGAGAATCCCTGGATCTCCAGAGAACAGAGAGACTTGCAGCGCAGAAGATGAAAGCAGAGTTAATAGTGTCTGTGTGTCTACGGTAGAGACTACATTTTGTACTAGAAGGAGACTTCCTTCAATCATATATGAGAGATTTCACAATATAAATGCTGCATGTTCTGTGACTTGTGTGTCCCAAAGTTTTGGGTACATTTTTCTTGTGGAGAGACTAAGGGTGTTATCACAGCAGCACTTTTTAGTCTGGTTAAAATAGACTCTGGTTCGATTTCCCCATGGTTGCTATTCGTTTGGGCAGGTGTGAGCACAGTAACTGCATTCGGGTGCAGACCAAAAGAACCATACTGAGACCCTTGAGAGGAGGTGGTCTCCGTCTGGTTCCAAACAAACTTCTCCAGTTTGTTTGTGGTGTGAACGTGATCCGACCCAACTTCTAGGTGTACTCTGCGAGTTTGAGCTACATGGCTCCCGTAGCCAGGTGTGCTTTGCATTCTGGGATGCAGCAGAGCACGCAAAGCAGTAGCAGGAGCTAGGCAGAGAAGGAGAAATGAGAACCGAAGGCTTACTTGGTCTAGCAGTGAGGTATGTTGCCTAAAAACAACTCAAAAAAACACTGAAGCTTTCAAAATGTTAAGTCAGCGGCTGAAGGAGAGGAGTTGAATGGTCCACTGAACAATCCCTTGTGAAAGTAAAAAAAAAACAGAGGCAACAGAGCATTAAAATTGAGAGGTTCAACTGCATAGCCCAGGACACAGGACCTTCTTCCTGTATTTACTTTCTTGCTCCCACTGCAGACAAATCTGACCAGTAAGCAGAATGAACATTCTCATGTGGTTCGTAGTGGTGCATTGTTGCTTTGCTTGGATATTTCTCTGTGAGAAACCAAACCGAATGAAGGGAAAATGCTACAAGTTTACTAACTCATCAACTGATTCGGACCTGAACTATAGGTGTGAAAATGCCCTAAGAAGACTGTGATTTCAGTATGTTTCAGGATGATGTGTATGTGCACATGCTCGTGTCTGTCATTTATGCTATAGGTTGAAGATGAAGCAGCCATTTTGAATAGGGAAGAGGTTAAGAAGGCTGGCCAGATAATCACACCTGGGGACGATTTTGTGGAGGAACCGGAGAATGTGGATTGCGAACTCAATAGGTAGTTATCCATTATTCTTCATTGCATTCATTTGTATGGTGAATATGACAGCAATACTAATGATTTTAACGCAATCATTTTATTCATTTTAATTTAATTTAGGTTCTAGCACATACATTAAAACACATAATGCTGGGGTAATTGGGGTGTCAGAGTAGTATTATGTCTTTTTTAATGAATCTAAGTAACCTGTGTATGTATGCTGGATGGTTGCCTTACTAGGTCTGGCTGTTTAAGTCATGAAGATCTATTCAACTCAAGCCCTTCAATCCAACACAGACCTAGAGAAGCATGTACCCTGACTAGCATTACTGCCAAAAAGAGTTGCCAGGAAAAAGAATACAGTGGTAATAACTTATGTTGATATAAGGATTGGTAATATTTTTTGGCCATATATTATCTGCTCTTGTTTTTTCAGTCTTCAGAACTTTTTCTAGATTTTCATAGTTCCAGCTTTGCAATAAAGAGATTTTAACCGTTTTGTCTGCAGCCAGTAGTTCTCCAGATGGTGTTAAAATGGACACAGTGCATGATGAAAGTGCCATTAAATAC